GGCTTGACAGCAAACACTGCTAAGGAGAGAGACCAAGCATCCCACAGCAGCAGAGTCATTGCAGCAGGAGAGGGCTGTTTTTATTAAAAGCGGTAGCAGTGGGGACTCTGCAGAGACCTCCACTTCCCTCCGAAGCAGCTTAAGGGGTGACCTTGGTTTGGCTCCAACCTCTCCCTGGACAGCCCTGTTACACACCAGGGACAGCTCCACCTCCGGCATCTCACCAACGGAGGCTGGATGGACCCCTTTCCTAGATCTCTCCTGCTCCCTCCAAAGAGCACCGTGGAGAAATGGTGGTAACTGCTGGTGAGTGCCCAGCAGTGCCAGTGTAGCACTGTGTGTCTGCAAGAAGGGCCTTGCTCATCATCACGTTTCTCTGTCTGACAGCCAAAGCCACTTCTTAGCTGGCAGAGAGAGACGTTATCACTCCTGCTGTCCCCACATCCTCTTTTTAGAGCCCTGTTCTATCTTGGTGCATGGGGGTATTTCCACTCCTGACTGTGAAGCCTTAGTTGCAGAAATATTGTGTATGAGGAGCCCAGTGCAGGGACTTCTGCTGGTTGACCTTGTAAGTATTTCCTGGAAGAGAGTGAGGCTCCTTCACATGGGAAACACCCCGCACGCACAGCCGGAGCTGTGCTGGTGGAGCAGAGAGCAGACCCTGGTGCAGCCCTGGGAGGGAATGGGGCTTTCAGGTGTTGGAGGTCCAGAAGTCTCCAGTGGGACAGCACGGGGGAAGGGGCACTGTGAGAAACATGGACTCACATCTTAAAATTTAAAGAGGACAAAGTCACCGAAGCAAAGGTTAAAAAAAAAATAATTGATTAATACGAAACAGTGCTGAATCAGGTGCACCAAAAATAGATGCACGATGATCTTTTAGCTTTCAGGTATTTTATACCCTTATCCCGGCTGCTTGAGTTTCTGTCTCCCTTCTCATTGGCTGAGAAGTTGGAGCTCACATTCTTCCCGACCGCTTGACCTATTACAGGTTTATTTTGCACTTTTTCCCATATAAGGCACACATACACCTATTCTACAAAATCATTACCCTAAACGCGCCTTTGATTAGTTGGTTATGCTACACGTTATTTCCCAGTCTTTGCTACCATCTCTTTGGCAGATTTAGCAGACTGGTTTCTTTGGCCTTCTTGCTCCTCCTCTGCGCTCTGGGTTGCTGTGTGGAAGGCGGTGTTGCGGTCTGTTTCTCTTCCCCTAGCTAACGCTCTGCCAACAAGGATCCCTTGACAGAGCAAGGGCATTTCTGGGGATTAATTGGCTACAATTTATTAGACTCTATTACTACTAAGGCTTCTTTGTTAGTACTATCCACTAACAATGATACATCAATTAGCTGAAGCAAAACTTAGCTTGTTTCCCACAGGCACTTCAAGAAGAAACCAGTGCACTGAGCGCAACAAGGTCTCAGCTCAAAGGAGGGGCCTCTGGCTACCTATGGGAATGGTGCTGAAGGGCTTTCAGATTGATTGCTATGTATATTTTTGTTAATTAACATCAAACAGTAGCCTCTGAATGAAAGTAGCCTGATGGAGGCCTGTCTCCTCCTTGCCTTCCCAATGCTCAATGCCACCAGCCTCCCTGAATCTGCTGGCTCAGGGTGACCCGTGCTGCTCGCCATGAGACATCTGGCTGGAAAACCACGGCTGAATCTTGGCAAATGCAGACACCTGCATCGTGCAAGGCCTTGGCCAAGCAGGGAGAAGACAGGAAGGTGAACCACTGCTGGACAGGAGCAGGTACTGCCCTGACTGCTCACCTCACTTCTCAATTACATTTCTGCTTGGAATTACTGGGTGGTAAGATAGGGTAAGAGTGTCTCCACAAACAGGTGATGAAGTACAGATATGAGTGTCTCCACAAACAGAGAAGTTAATTTAAATTACAAGAGTAAGATAACTGAAGGAGATAGGAGAGTTAATTGAAACTGCAGGACTGAGATAACCGAGAAATAGGGGAATTAACTGGAAATGCAAAAGTTAGACAATTATGACAAAAGTTAAACTTTTATGTAATAGAAGTCTGTACTTTCCAAGTCCCTCAGCCAACAGGGAAAGGAAGAGGGTTACACGTGGCCGGGGGGAATTAGGATACAATGGAGGCTGTGTCCTCTGGAAAACTGAGAGACCCCCCAGGGGAATGCCCCAGTGGACTCCCCCTTTATTCGAATAAAGCCTGCAGGATTCCTCTGTCTCCTTTGTGGACATGGACCTCTGGCTATGGGATTTTCTGCACGTGGGTAAAGGGCCTCCACCGACGCACTGGCTGTAGGAGCACATCCTGCATGAGAATCTTTAATCCGATGTTACACAGCAGCGTGTTGGGGGGTAGAGGCTCCACAGTGACCATCTGCGAATTCTGGCTCCCTGAGCAGGAGGGGAGGGAGCTCTGCCTTTCCGTGGTTCAAGTGGTGGATCTCAGAAAGTGTGTGTGGCTTTTTGGCTATGACAGCATGGAAGAGGCTGGCTGAAAATGGGATGCAGTGGAATGGGCAGATGGAGATGATTTTGGTCTGAACTTGGCAGCCTTCCTTGAAGGTCCATACCTCTGCAGGGAGCAGGATGAGCTTCAGGTTCAGAAGATGATGGGGTCCAGGCGTCATCATTCAGCTGTATACCCTGCGCCTCTGCAAGGTGGATCATGGATTGTGCCGATTCTACACTTGGAAAAGAGGAGGGACACCAAGACACCTCGTCTGTCTTGTGGCAGAGAATGGTGCTCTCTTTATAAATGTGGAGCAGATGGGAGAAGGGTAAGGTGTTCACATGCCAAACTTTTCCTTCTTCCCTTGGTCATCAGCCAAGTCCAGCTGTACTCCAGCTTTTCCTGTTCAGTCCCTGCATGTCCAGGCAATGCTTGTGTGTGTCTGCTGCGTAGCTTGATGCTGCTTTCGTCTTCTGTGCTCTTCATTTTTGTCTTTAAACTCAGTCCAGAATTCCCCATGAGGCCAGTCTGGCCTCCTGCTGTACTTGATTGACTCCTGGCACATGGGGATGAATCGTTCTTATACTTGTTCTTCTCCACTGGTTAGTCAGAAATTCGGGCGGCTGCTTCACACCTACCTCTCCTGACTTCTGCTTCCCCTCCAGGCTGAAAAAGCCTCGTTCCTTCCACCACTCCTCATGGGACACACGCTTCAGGCCTCAAACATCTTTGTGACCCTCCTCTGAACTCATTCCAGTTTATCAATGTTTTTCTTGCCCCGTGAGGCCCAGAACCCGACCCAGTGCTGCAGATGTGATCTAAGGGGTGCTGAGTAAAGTCAGCAGTCGCTTCCTTCAACCTGCCAGGTGTGCTCCTGTCCAGCCCAGCGTGATCACCACAGCAGGACACACTGCAGATGTCCAGCCTATTGTCCCCCAGCACCCCCATATCCTTCTCAGCAGAACTGTTCAGCCCCCATCACACAGTTCCCTTTACCTTCTCTCCCTTTTTTCTTCCTCTCATGCTCACCTCACGCAGTCTTTGCTCATAATGGCTCTGGGAAAGTAATAAGGCAAAAATGTGGGGATTTAATGCAGAGTTCAATGAAAGGAGGAAATTCAGCCAGAGATGCGACCCATTTGCACATGCTGAGACGGCATTTACCACTGTTGGAATGGGGCAAAAGCTTCTGGAAACTGAAAAACTGGATTTTCCAGTAGGGACTGAACCCTTTCTTGGGGGAAAGGCAGCGGGTTGGGGGAGCTTTTCAATGAAGGTAAAATGAGGAGAAACCCAAGGAGAGTTTGTGAACGGTACATCGATGTGTTTGCACGCTGCGTGGAGGTGCCATGAGGAGAACACAGCAGTGGCCGGGGTGAGCCGGGGAAGAGCCCCTGTGTCTGCAGCCCGCTCTGCCAGGGGCTTCTGTCCAGAGCCACGGTGGGTGGGATCCCCTCCTTCTGCGCACCCAGAGCTGATGGAGGCCACCACCTTACAGTTCCCGGCACGAGGGCAACGGCAGGAGGTGACACCACCTTCTCCAGCCTGGAGCCTGCGGCAGCTCCTCCTGAAAGAAAACCAGAGCTTGTGGCCAGGTGGGCATTCAGCTGCCCCGTGTGATTGTTTTCATTAGACAGGACGTCATCAACCTGGGTTGATTTTAGAGGTGCAGATAACCAATTTGGCATTCCTGATTTTATTTTTTTTGCTTGACTTTCAGAAATGCTCGAGTGAAGCAGGTTGTGGCTGGGACAGTCCCCTTTGCCCTGCAGATGCCTGTCCATATCCCGCCTCCCGCGGAGAAAAGCCTTGGTGACGCCGTTTCCCAGGGGAGGGCGGGTGTTTCTCACAGCCCCTGCCGGTGCGGGGACCGGGGCCGGAGTCCGGCCGGGCTGCACGACACCTCCCGACGTGTGTCCAACAGCAAGAGAGGAGATTCTGCGATTTGTTTAAAAATTCTGGATTTTTATTTTTTTTCAGTCAGATTCTGCCCAGGGAGGGTGTGAGTCCCCTCCTCTGGAGATCTTCAAGCCCCGCCTGGATGCTCCCGAGTGATGTGCTCCGGGCAGCCCTGCTTTGGCAGGGAGTGGGACCGGAGGGTTTCTAGAGGCCCCTTCCAACTCTGACAATTCCCTGATTCATATTTTCAATTCAGTATTTTAAATTTTAAGGAATTAAATGGAATTGCCTCTAAAAGCAGAAAACACTCCGTTGGGCTGAACGCCGCCTTCACCCCGGTTCTGTCCCCGAGGGAGGGATTCATCCGGGCAGCGAAGTCCCGTCTCTTTCGATTTCAACAAAATGGTTTAACCCGTTTCCTCCCGTTCGCCCGCCCGACACGGGCTGCACAGACGCCGCGACTCCCGCCCTCCGCCGCCCGGGCCCTGCCGGGGCCGCCCCGCTCCTCCGCGGGTTTTGTCTCTTTCTCTCCACAAACCGCGGCCCCGCCGGTCCCGCCCGACACGGAGCCGCCGGCCGGGCCCCTCCGGAGCCGCGGGGTCCCGGGTCCCGCCCGCGCTGACGCAACGCCCCCGCTCCGCGCGGCGGCCGGAAGTGGCGCCATCCCGGCGCCCCGCGCGCTCCCGCTCCTTCCGGCGCGGCGCCATCGGCGGAGCGGCAGGTGAGGCCGGGGCGGGCGGGGGGGATCCGCGTCCATCGGCGGCGGCGCTCACCTCTCTCTGCCCGCAGACATGGCGATCCGCTACCCCATGGCCGTGGGCCTCAACAAGGGCTACAAGGTGACGAAGAACGTGTCCAAGCCCAGGCAGTGCCGCCGCCGCGGGGTGAGTGCGAGGCGGGGAAGGGCCGCGCCGCGGGGGAGGCGCCGCCGGCAGCCACGGGGCTGGGCCGGGGCCTGCGGAGGGTCCGGGCAGGGCCCCGCTGCTGGGTGCGCGCCGCTGGGCCTGGAGGCGGCCCGGGGGGGGCTGCAGCCCCGCTCCTGATCCGGCTGCCGGGCAGAGGCGGCTCCCAACCCCCGCGCCACGGCAAGGGGGGGAGCGGGGCGGTGCGGAGCCGAGAAGGGCGGTGGGCGCTGCAGGCGGCTGCCTCCCCGTCTGATCGGGCGCAGACTGGTTCCAGCAGCGTGGGTGACTGAGCCCAGAAACCCCCCACCCCTGGGCTGCATCCCCAGCAGCGTGGCCAGCAGGGCCAGGGGGGGATTCTGCCCCTCTGCTCCGCTCTGGGGAGACACCCCCCAGTGCTGCCTCCAGCTCTGGGGCCACCACCAGCAGAAGGACATGAAGCTGTTGGAGCGGGGCCAGAGGAGGCCCCGGAGATGCTGGGAGGGCTGGAGCCCCTCTGCTGGGAGGGGGGGCTGAGAGAGTTGGGGGGGTTCAGCCTGGAGAAGAGAAGGCTCCGGGGAGACCTTCGAGCCCCTTCCAGTCGGTCATGGGGCTCCAGGAAAGCTGGGGAGGGACTCTGGATGAGGGAGGGGAGCCCTAGGAGGAGGGGGAAGGGTTGGACCCTGCAAGAGGGGAGATGGAGCTGAGATGTGGGGAAGAAGTTCTTGGCTGTGAGGGTGGTGAGAGCCTGGCCCAGGTTGGCCAGAGAAGCTGTGGCTGCCCCATCCCTGGAGGGGTTCAAGGGCAGGTTGGAGGGGGCTTGGAGCAACCTGGTGTGGTGGGAGGTGTCCCTGCCCAGGGCAGGGGGTGGCACTGGGGGGGGCTTTAAGGTCCCTTCCCACCCAAACCAGTCTGTGATTCAATGACTGTTGGCAGCTGCAGTTGGTGTGGGAGTTGAATGTCTCTTCCTGGAGGATTGCAGAAGGGTGTGCTTTATGTCTCCATCTGTGGTCCTGGGGGGGGTGGAGCACTGTCTGCTCTGAACTGCAGTGACTGGGACCAACAGAAAACCTGCAGGAAAGCACCACGTTTGAAGCATTGAGAGAGCTGGTGATGTTAGACATGGAGCAGGGGCTTAAATCATGGAAAGTGACTATAGGTGTAAAGGTGGGTGTGGAGTGAAAGAGCTGGAATTGGCAGTGGAGCAGTCTGTAGTGGAAGAGTCAGATAGATGCGTTTCAACCTTGGCTCAATGAATTAGCAGTGAAATAAAAAGTCAGTGGGTGACTTGTGAAGTTCCTCCAAGTCTGCTTCTCTTGCTGGCAGCAACAGGTCTAAATTAGCATGTACATTAATTGTGATCCGTGTATTCCCCCACCTACCCTCCCCTCTTTCCTACAGCGCCTGACCAAGCACACCAAGTTTGTGCGAGACATGATCAGGGAAGTTTGTGGCTTCGCACCATACGAGAGACGTGCTATGGAATTGCTGAAAGTTTCCAAAGATAAACGTGCTCTGAAGTTCATAAAGAAACGGGTGGGTAAATCCAATATCTCAGTGAGGATGGCAAAAACTCTGCTTTAGTTAACTTCCTGTTTTGTGCCCTTCTCTACAGATACTTTGCTTTTTAATGCTCACATTTTTTCCGTTGCTTGGGAAGTTAATGGTGTGTGTCTGAGAGCTGAGGGAACGCCTCTTGGCCTGGGTAGGAAAGCGGGAGATGAGCATGAAGGCACTTTGCCTGAAAGCTCTGAGCTACAGGAATCTTGCCTTGCTATATAGCTTTTCATTCTTGGCAAATCTGGTGTGAGGAAAAGGAGAGCAATACGGGGGGTTGGGTGCCTTTAATCAGGTGACTTGAAATGAATTTCATTTAGGGCAGCCGTGAAAGTGAAGCAGCTTTTACCTTGCCTAAAGATAATTCTGGAGTAGAGATGTGATGGGAAGTAGTTCTGTCTGGCCAGTTGAGGGGGGTGGAGTTTGAGTCCACATGTACCCTCCTGCCTGCTCTTTGAGCAGAGCCTCTTCAGGGACTGCCTGCAGTGGCCATGCAGTTCCCTCTGTTCTCTGCTGGGACTCACTGCGTTGCTCTTTTACCTGCAGGTTGGCACTCACATCCGGGCCAAGCGAAAACGGGAAGAACTCAGCAACGTCCTGGCAGCCATGAGGAAAGCTGCTGCAAAGAAGGATTGAGTTGTACGGTCTGTAACTCAATAAAGCCCTTTCTCACAAATACAAGCGTAGTGACTGTTGATGGTCCATCTCCTGGGGGTGCTGAGGGACTGTGCTGGTGAGGACCTGAACGGCAGTGATCCAGAACTTGCACTGCTGTTCTACCTGCACTGGAGATGCTGATACTGGAGTTGCCAGCACTGCCCTGTTATAAAATCCTTCTCCTCCTCCAGACCTCGTGGGGCTAAGCCATTCTCAGGATGTGGAAGCCTCTGCCATAGCTAAGCCTGTGAAGGCTGCAGTCCCTTCCACCTCCTACTGACTCCAGGTGGTGGTAGGAGTGGAGTCCAGGGGATAAAAACTGCTGTTCAAACCAGTAACAGCCCTGCACTCATTCCTCATGGCACCTCAACCTTGTGCAGCTTTTCTTACTCATGCATTTCCCGTTGTACCCTCCATTCCCATCCTGCTTTCTGCAGTGCTGTCACACCACCAGAGAGAATTACCCTGAGTTTTGTTGGGACAATTCTTTAATCTCCAGTGAGGGCTGCTGTGCTGTGAGACAGGACAAGTGCTGGTCTTCCTGCACAGAGAAATGCATTTCAACTAGACATTGTCTACCTACGTGTAACTTCATGTAACATCCCTTACATTGGTTTCCAGTATTTGCTGTAAGATGAAGTACTCGAGTTCCCAGGCCCAAGCTTGTGTTTGTTTCCGTAAAACATTTATTCCTTTTTTCGATCAGTGACTGTAACAGAGCTGCAGGGGCAGGGAGGTGGAGGGCAGTTGCTAACTGCTGCTGCTGAGGACATGGCTCTTCTGTCCAGGTTTGCTCACTCTGAGCCTGGTGGTGTTTCTGTTGGGACTGACCTATGATTCAATCTGGAGAACTGTCCTTGGAAGAATTTCACAGCTTCCCCTCCAGCCCAGCACAGCTGAGAGAGAGAGGTTTCTAAGAGCTACTTGACTACATCAGGAACACTAACGTACATGAATCGTAGCCCTAGCTCTATAACAGAGTTAATGTTTCCATAAGCAGATACTTAGAACTACAGTGAAATAACTGAAATATCTTTAATTATAAGAGGCCAGGCTAGCTCCACTACTGGTGGCTGATAACATGCATAGTCCTTAGGTAAAATTTCAGTTTTATTTGAAATACTTAATAATTCAATAATTAAAGAGTGAGAAATGCTTTATTCTACCAAAACCATAATTCATTTCAGCAGCTGCGCAGCAGCAATAGCTCCACGTCCCCCTTCAGGATTGCCCCCAGATCCTCCGTTTCTGGGCAAGGGCTGAGAGACCGCGTTCCAACCGTCAGGCTGACGAGCATCATCCTCCAGCGGAATCCAGCTTTGAAAACGCTATATCAAATACCTCTTTGTAGTGCTCAACAAAATGCACTTCTAGTCCTTCTGTAATGAATCCAGCAAGGTCGTAATAATCCTTTTTGTTCTCTGATGGCAGAATGATGCAGGTGACACCCGCCCTCTTCGCCTATGGGGAAAAGAAAGTTATTCAGCCTCTTGAGTCCTAGAAATCCATCAATCCACTAGAAACACACTCCCATTTTAGGAAGCAAGAACAAGAACAGTTAAAAGCATGATCTGTCTTTACTCGGTTCTTTGGAAAGCGGCAAGGGCATTACTTACAGGAGGTGTCAACTATGGATGCACCAGGTTCTGGAACACCCCAAGCCCCCAGAGCGCTCTCTGGTCCCACCTTCTCAGCTGCAGGGACAACTGCAGTAGGAGGCATCTAATACGACTATGTCAGCACATCAGGGGATTGTTTAGCCCAATTCATACTACTTTACAGAGCTTTAAAAGTCTGTTCTAACTTGGGTGAGGAGAACCCCACAATCGAAGGAAGAATTAGAAACAGCTTATCTGACCAAGCTACCACATCAATACACGTGACCCACAGCACCGTTCCACAGAACCTCTTACACGGACACCTGCACCGCAAGGGGCACAGAAAGCAGAGCCCACTCCTCAACCAGCAGGTCTGTACCTGTTTATGGGTGATCCTACACTTGCCCTTGTGTAGTCACACACACTCCTGCAAGTGCAGCCAGGCACCAGCACTACAGACACCCCTATCCTATGCTACTCCTTCTATAATGATTACTACAAAATAAAATGCAAAATTACCCATTTTGAAGCCACATGAGGACAGGGGATGGCACTGCACAAGGCTGTAGCCCAAACAGATTTGGGGACAGAACATTGATGTGAAGCCCCAGCTCAACAGGCTACAAGAAGAAGGCTAATGCCATTCTTGAAGACAGAAAAATGTGTGTGATGCAAGGCCCATGTAGGAGGAGCTGTGCAGCTGAAAAGTGCGGAGAGAGAGTCAATGCTTGGAAAAGAATTCTGAAAAGGGCAAAGGGTTGAAACCAAAACAAGCAAGCACCACTATAAATCCAGTGTCTGCAAAAGTGCTTCAGAGAACTCAGCCTAAATACCTTACAAAAACCAAAAATAAAGAAAAAGAGAATCAAGTAAGTTGATTATGATGTACGAAGAAAGTTCACAGGGGAAAATGCAAGACACTAGAAGTAAGCTACTTCCATCTAAACCAGAAAAACAGAGCTACCTGTATGGAATTTCAAGTAAGACAAATTCAAGCTGGAACTAGGGAACAGAGCCTTAATGTTAAGGTTGATGCTTTATGGATACCTCACGTCTACACTGGATGCCGTCCTCAAACAGGCAGTTCAACCCAGCACAGATCTTCACACCCTACCAGTCTGATGGAGAAGACAGCCAGATGATCCCTTCCGCCCTTACTTCTACCAGTCTAGTACTGGGATCAACAAAGATGCCTGGGCACAGAGCCTGGGGCCCCATCTCCTTCCTCACAGCCAGAGAGACAGATCCCTGTGTTCCCTCAGAGGCTTCTCCACAGCGTTTGTTCAATCACTGCCTCTCCCACAACAGGAACAACCACGCTGGCTGTCCCAGTCACCACTGAGCCCAATCCAGGGCTCTCTCCCACAGATGGTGCACCGAGACAAGAGAACAGCTCTTACCGCAATAGTCTTCTCCTTGATTCCACCAACAGGAAGAATTTTTCCAGTTAATGACACCTCTCCAGTCATGGCCACGTTCTGCCTCACGGGGCAATTCATGGCCAGCGATAACAAAGCTGTTACTATGGTACACCCTGCACTTGGTCCATCCTTCGGCGTTGCTCCCTGTTTAAAAAAAATAAAAGCACAAGTCCCCTGTTTTAACTAATTCAAAGAGTAGCAAAGCCAGGCAATACCTCTGTCATTGCTGTTTTAACATGGCCCTAGTTTCAGGGGCCTCACAAAGGTTTTTGTGAAAGTGTCACTGATGGAATCTTGCTATTTGAATTGGCCGATCTATTAACACCGATGTCAGTCCTCATCTTATTCATGAGGAATAATCCATGAGTCTACACTTTGGTTCCTAGCCTGATGCCACCACAACACTCATCAGGCTTAGGACTTTGAATATGCAACATAAGCAAAAAACAGAGCTATGAAGCTTTTTGTTGACCTAAGTCAACCATGGAAACAAGTAACAGAGGTCAGCATCACAAGGGAAGAGGGCATCAAGAGCCACAGCATAGTGGAGGACAACACTGAAAAGCATTCAAGGCAAAAAAGATCATCCAGTTTAGAAAGCCCAACAAAGTCCAGGCCTAAATTAGTGAGAGTCTGCATTCATTTGAGATCAAATGGATCTTTGAGGTAAAGAAGAAGAAATATTTGAGAGGGAATAGAGGCAGAGATAATGTCTGCTGTTTTCTGATCCTCCAGGAAACAAACACACAGATAAACAAGTCCCTCGACAGAGCCAAAGCAAGCTGCAACCAGGAGACTGTGGCCCAGGTTAAAGCAGGCAACAGTTCAGAAGCAAAGCTTGGACACAGTGATATTACAAACGTTGTCTTCACTAAAGCACCTGCCCGAGGCTGTTACACAGTGTATGAGCCCTGCTGAGCGTTGCGTGCATCTATTTTCAGTTCCAAACACTGTGTAAATGCAATCACTGCCATTATATGGACTAGGACCCATGGCACAGAGACCACGTGTAGTATTTCAATTATCTATAAATTACCTGAAGCCTTTACAAAGGCCTGGTAACGGAGAGACCTAAACTTTGGTTTCCTTGTAGCTGCACACAAGCTTTTATCCAAATCTCTTATACGCTATGCTGTGGTCTCCCCACGTGTGCTCCAGGGCCAACAGCTACAACAGAAGGATTCCTCAGAGCACTATTTGAGCCCCTGTATTCTTGCCACATGCTTGAATGCTTTCATAGGATCCTGAGGAAAATCTTTTTTAGGTTTTACTGCTAAAAGAGGGCATTCAGCACAATGTACAGACAAATGAAGTGCTTTCCAGCTTCATGTCTAGGGGAGCAAACCAGCCCAGCTGCTATGCATGCTCCATGAATTCTGCATCAGTTTACCTCTGGCACATGCAAGTGGATGTGAGAAGACACGAGAAAGTCATTGTTGGGGTCCTTCTGCATAAGAAAGGCTCTTGCAAACGTGTAAGCTATTTTGGCACTCTCTTTCATTACATCTCCGAGTTGCCCTGTTACTTCAAGGGACCCATCCTTGTTCTCCTTGTCTTTGGGTCGCCTCAGGGATGTTTCAACAAACAGAGTGGAACCTCCTAAGAAAAGAAAAACAACATCCTGAGAAAAGCTAATGGAAAATCAAACCTGCAGGTTTTGGTGATGCAGAAGCAATGTCAAGAATTTGGAACTGGGGCTCTCTGATGAGAAATTAACTCTTGCATAAAGAGCAGGTGAAACCTGCTCTCTGAATTCCTTCAGGAAGGCCACAAATCTCAACAACACTGCACCAGCAGTCTCCATTCCTTGCTTCTCTGCACATCACACTCCACCAATATGGATGCAACCCCTATTTAGTGTAAATCAGTTCTTCTAACAGTTTCAAGTTCTTTATAGCCAAAAAGTAAGATGAGCTCATAGTGTAACACATTCCAGCCAGTACAGCTTTCCAGCCTCAGACATGCACTTACCCTCACTCACCACTTCTCTCAACTACACAAG